TACTTATATGTAATAATAATGTCTCATCAGAGCTTTCTCTGTACTTATAGCTCTGATGAGACATTATTATTACGTATAAGTACAGAGAAAGCTCTGATGAGACATTATTATTACATATAAATACAGAGAAAGCTCTGATTATTACATATAAGTACATAGAAAGGAATAATGTCTCATCAGAGCTTTCTCTGTACTTATATGTAATAATAATGTCTCATCAGATCTTTCTCTGTACTTATATGTAATAATAATGTCTCATCAGATCTTTCTCTGTACTTATATGTAATAATAATGTCTCATCAGACATATTGGAGAGAAATAATGAATTTAGAGATGGTATTTTTGAATATTGTTGCTGTTATTCAGGTTCGAACAGAAAGAGATGTTTATAGGTCAAATATTTCCAGTACCTTAACAGTCGATCCTGTATTAACTTCAGAGAACCACAGACCGAGATACCAAAGTATCCAGTGGTAATACTAGGTATATATGAAATATGTGTTAAATAGTCATTTATAATGAAGAGACTGCAGAAAATATGACTGTCTCTTCAAGGCAGCATAATAATTATTTATAAGACCATTCAAAACATGACCAAGTCCTTTAGTTGTGTTCATTCTCTTTATACTAGAATCATACCATGAATGACACCAACAGAGGCACAGTTAGCTGTCGTAAAGTGTTTGTCCAACGAGACTATTCCGAGGGAACGAACGTTAAGTTTCAAACAAAGTTTCCACAAGAACTAGATGGTTTGGTAAGTTTTTTATTTTACTGCACATTAAGGAAGTTTTAGAAACTTATTTTGTCTAGTATTTTTAGATTACGTGTTTATATAAAGCCTTGAACTTTTTTTTTCTGGTGTAAGAATTAGAAATTTGCCTTTCCCTGAAATCAGATGCACCATTAGAATGAGCATATATATTATTTTCGGTGTGTTATTCAATTCTGTTCATTTTACACATGATGATAAGGTAGGCCTAAAATTTAAAATGATTTTCAACCGAGTACAAAATTGTCAAACAAATTATATTCTAAAAATATGATGTTAAAATGAACCGAACAAAATTATGCTTCATTGATTGATATCCAGATGTCATAAGCCTATGCATTATATATATTTGTTAAGATAACTTTTAAAACTTCTTGTAGAGGTTTCTAGACTTGATTGGTGTTAGGTACATCATGATTTGGGGGTATCTCTATTTTCATACATGGTTGCTGTGTTTGGTAATCTGGTGTTATTAGTTTATATTATCTGAGGATGAAAAACATTATAAATATTGCTGAGTTAGACATTAGAATTTAGCAAAATAGCAAAGGCTTTAAAATATTCTTACCTGTGAGTTTTTGAAGACATACCTTATTAAGTCAGTGAAACTCAGTTTAATTATTTTTCATCATTAATTTGCCTATATGATGAATATTAAAAAAATGCTACTTATATGAACTGTAAATATAGCTACCACCAATGAAAAATTATGTATTGCAAGAAAACTTTACAAAAATGCTGTTCAAACATTTTCAGTTAAATAACATCAATTCATTGTGCAGGATTTGGTTATTTAATGTAGAAGAAGAATTAATAAAGTTAAAAATGAATAATTAGAAGTGATATATTCAAGTTAATATGATATTCCACCTGCATTGCTACTACTATAAAAAACAGTGTAAACATTTAAGTGCAGGTTGTACCAAAAAAATAATTTTTTTTTTATAGCTTCAGCCATTGAATTAAGGTTTTAATGACTACAAGTCAAACATTTGACTATCATGTTCCATACTTTCTTGATGTTATCTATTTGAAAGGAATCTTTACAACATTATAATATATATAGTAGTTGGTTAGAGAAAGGATTTTTTCATTTTGTCCTAGATTGACAAGCAGACGTTCGAACATATGATTACAACATTGAATTCTATATATGCTGAAGCCGAGAAAATGAGCGGACGAACCGTGTGTGAAGGTTGTCTTGCCTGTTTGACTGCCTACCTTCTGTATGTGTGTATAGACACACATTATGAAAAGGTAAAATACATTATGATAACTTTTCTAATTGATACAGTGTTTGATGTGCATTTTTCTACTTTCCTGGAACTGTGTAGTAAAATATCGAGGAATGTGTATGTTTATACTAGAATGAAATTATGATGTTGGGATGTATATAGCAGGAACTAATTTGTAGTATACATATATATACGATGATGTAGGAAGTACTTAATGTTTCTGTATATATATTAGGGTCTTTGTGTGTGTATTCTCACATACATACACACACACACGCAGGGGTTTCAGTAACCCTCTCACTACGGGTAGGTCAAAGTGAATGTCCAAACTTTTTAGAGAGTTACATTCAAAATTTAATTAAATTATTTTTTTATCAATGTTTGCAAATAAACTTGTGATCAAAATATAGTACTTACAAGAGAGTAGATATCATAGTATGTGCCTACAGGAGTGTAGATATCACAGTATGTACCTACAGGAGTGTAGATATCACAGTATGTACCTACAGGAGTGTAGATATCACAGTATGTACCTACAGGAGTGTAGATATCACAGTATGTACCTACAGGAGTGTAGATATCGTAGTATGTACCTACAGGATTGTAGATATCGCAGTATGTACCTACAGGAGTGTAGATATCGCAGTATGTACCTACAGGAGTGTAGATATCACAGTATGTACCTACAGGAGTGTAGATATCACAGTATGTACCTACAGGAGTGTAGATATCGCAATATGTACTTACAAGAGTGTAGATACCAAGAGTATAGAGGACACAGAGTATATCTATTTTATCTACTATGATATAATGATAATTTTTATTTATTGTAAATTTATCTGTTGTAGCTTATTTTTACAGTAGTTGTAAAATAATTTTGGTACAGATATGCCAGAATTTTAACCAAAATAATTTTGTTGAGAATCTGTATATTTAATAAAGACTTACTCAGTAGCTGCTGTTTTTAATTTTCAATGACTATTGTGTTATTATGTTGAATTGTCCAGATTTCATGTAAGTTGTAAATATCTATTGCTCTGTGGCCTAGTAGTAGTATGTGTTTCAAGATACAAATACCCAATTTATCCCAACATTAGATTGTAGATTAATGAAAAACATAAGATTGGAAGACAGTTTTAGTGAAAATTTTATGACAATAAAGATTGAAATTATCTAGAAGCTGTAATGATGTCATTAATTGTGGAACAGGAAATTAAAAATACACCTGTAAAGAATTATTATCCTCTTTCCTTCAACATGAAAATTCAGTATTCTCAGCTTTGTAGTGGAACCAGTAATTCCAATACACTGGAAAAATCACATACAGGATACAAATAACACTAGTTAGGGGTTAAAAATTAGGTTTTTTTTTAGTCTTCTAGTTATACAGTAATTGTTACAGCTGTTGACAACAGTGTTGGGTGTGAAGTAAAGAGTAGTGTGATATGAATAAATATTAAAGCTTTCCTGGATTAGGATTCATAGGACAGCCTTTCTAATAATACTTGATGAGGTAAGTTTTGTCGGTATCATCTATAAACAAATGCTTTTGTTTTCTTCAGTGTCTAAAAAGTATAGCTGATTTCATAGAGGAGCAGAATGAACGAGTATGGATGCCCAAAGGTCTCTTACTGACGGATCCTGTGGAGCGGGGACTCAGGGTGATATCCTTCGTGAAACGTTTACTAAATTTATTTAAAAATCTTGTTAGTACACTAGAGAAAATACTACGAAAAAGTTTGTATTTCCTATAACAAAATGGTTTGAAAATTTTATTATAAAGGTTGGTACTAACAAGATGAGACACACAGGAAAGATAAACTTAATGTTTCACTAAATTTCAATGCTTTTTATTTAAGAATAACAAGGGGTTTACTGTAACACATTCAACATTATAACTATCTAGTTGTTTTAGGGGGTTTACTGTAACACATTCAACATTATAACTATCTAGTTGTTTTAGATATAACAAGGGGGTTTACTGTAACACATTCAACATTATAACTAAGTAGTTGTTTTAGATATAACAAGGGGTTTACTGTAACACATTCAACATTATAACTAAGTAGTTGTTTTAGATATAACAAGGGGTTTACTGTAACACATTCAACATTATAACTAAGTAGTTGTTTTAGATATAACAAGGGTTTACTGTAACACATTCAACATTATAACTATCTAGTTGTTTTAGATATAACAAGGGTTTACTGTAACACATTCAACATTATAACTATCTAGTTGTTTTAGATATAACAAGGGGTTTACTGTAACACATTCAACATTATAACTATCTAGTTGTTTTAGATATAACAAGGGGTTT